GAATTCTATAACGGCACATATAATCAAGGTTATTATCTCGATCATGCTGCTAATAATACTAATGAGACCAAGTATACAAGAGAAGAAAATATACAAAATAAGTTAGCAATTCGTCCTGCCTATTATGAATACTACACTGAATATATTTATTGGAGACAGAAGCCAACTCAAGATGAAATCAAAAGATGTTTAGATGGACCATATGAATTACCTAGTCCATATAACAATAGTTATATCTGTTTTAGTCAAGATTTAGCACCTGGACCATACAATGGCATCGTAACTTATGCGCGGAGTGCAATAGGCAACGAATTAGAAATACGAGCACCATTTCAAGGATTCTTATTAAACAAAGATACAGGCCTGCCAACTTTACAATTGGGAATGACAGTAAATATATCTTTATCATTAGAGACAACTCCAGAATATTCAACACCACAGGAATGGGCCTCGGATACAACAGCAACAATTCAATATACGCTCTCAGAAAGATGAACGATAATGCACAATATTTTTTGAAACTCATAATGATACACTCTTTTTTTTTACTAATATGTTACTCTTTTGTGTTATTCGTTGCTATTTCGTTGGTTAAAAATGTTTATTAATTCCAAAAGGTTCCTCAACAAAGAGCAGTCATCCTATTCCACAATGTTGAATATTGCGGAATCAGTTCCCCCGGGAATCAGTTCCATCTAATTCCGGAAACTCGATCATCATTCGGCATAATAGACCTACTCGACACTGATCGAGTTCCGCCAATTCCGGAATTTCTAGGAATTCCGTGTAATTCCGGAATTGGAAGAAATTTCCGGAATTCCGGTATCAGAAGGAATTCCGCGTAATTCCGTATAATTCCGTCTTCGATGAATTCCCGGATTTCCGTACCGGAATTACTAACTTATCCGGCGGACTAACATTCAAACACAACCCTCTGAGTGAGGGTGAGGGAAAGAAGGAATTCCCGTACGGAATACCAGGAATTGGGTGAAGACGGAATTACACGGAATTCCTGGGAATTCCCGGGAATTCCGAGTAATTCCGGAGTTGCAAGGAATTCCCGGAATTCCGAGTAGTTCCGGAATTGGAAGGAATACCCGGAATTCCGGAATCAGAAGGAATAGGCGTGTAACATCAGAATTCTATCTTGGAAACGGCTGAACATTTTATGTTGTCCTTTGGTTTATAAGGGTTTTTCGACGTGCTCTTTCTTTTTGTCCCGAGGAAGTCTTCTCTAAAATGCTCGAAGGATAGGTTTCTAGAAAGCCGAGGTTTTTGAGCTATAGGTGATGAAAAAAATGAGTTTTAGGAAAAGCTGAACACCACTGGAATTTTTCGAGTATCATATTCGGATTCAGAATTGCAAGACGAACATTTAAAAAACAAAATTAAGTCTGTAATGCAAAAAACCAAATTTATAAATTAAGTGCCAAGTTTTGGGAAGCTCCAGTTTTATAATTTTATAATAGCTCAATATAGATAGGTGACAGAAACCTGATTCAAGCGTCATTCCATAGGGAATTCAAAACTGAACAAACGTAGAGGTTTGACAATTTTCACATATTACGAAATTATGGTTTTCTAGAGGATCTCTAAAAAACCCGTTCTCTACTTGCACTGGAATGGTAGTCTTTC